GATTAGAAAACTGTGGTACATCTACACGATGGAATACTATGCTGCTGTAAAAAAGAAGGAATTTTTACCATTTGCAACGGCATGGATGGAACTGGAGAGCATTATGCTAAGTGAAATAAGCCAGTCAATGAAGAAAAAATACCACATGATCTCACTCATTCATGGATAATACAGACCATTATAAACTTTAAAAAAAAATAGATCCAGGACGGCACCTTCAGTGCCAAGTCCTTTTTTTGAAATATATTTTTATTGACTTTTTTTTACAGAGAGGAAGGGAGAGGGGTAGAGAGTTAGAAACATCGATGAGAGAGAAACATAGATCAGCTGCCTCCTGCACACTCCCTACTGGGTATATGGCCGCAACCAAGGTACATGCCCTTGACCAGAATCGAACCTGGGACCCTTGAGTCTGTAGGCCAATGCTCTATGCACTGAGCCAAACCGAAGAGGCTGTGGTAGAAACAGAGTTATGGCCAGCCTTCCTCTGAGAACTTTGCTTCTTTTTTTCTTTTCATTTTTTCTTTTTTTTAGGAGAGAGTGGAAGGAAGGTTGGAGGGGGAGAGAAACATTGATGTGAAAGAGACACATCCTTGGTTGCCGCCACATGATCGAGCCTGCAATTGAGGTACGTGCCCTTGGCCAAAATTGAACCCGGGACCCTTAAGTCCGCAGACTGATACTCTATCCACTGAGCCAAACTGGCTAGGGCTCAAGTCCTTTTGTTTCTGTTCACTCCATCTTTTTTTTTTTTAATATATTTTTATTGATTTCAGAGAGGAAGGGAGAGGGAGAGAGAGAAACATCAATGATGAAAGAGAATCATCAATTGGCTCCCTCTTGCACGCCCCACACCAGGGATCAAGCCTGCAACCTGGGCATTTGCCCCAACCAGGAATCAAACCATGGCCTCCTGGTTCATAGGTCAACGCTCAACCACTGAGCCACACATGACGGGCTTTTTACTCCATCTTTTAAAGGAAGGTCTATAGTTCAAATAGGATCTATGAGATACTGGTGGAAATCCTTATCAGAATTACCTGGATCCAAAGGAAGAGGAAAGGGATGAATTTAGGCTATACATTTAGTTGATCAGCTAAGAGATGCAACAGACGAGGGAGTAGAGGTGCACACTTGTTTTTGAAGAAATAATTTTCATTGTTTTGATCAGCAACTGGAAATTAACCAGGATAGGGTACTATTTCTGTACATAAACCAGGACACATTAAATCTACAGGGTGCATCATCTAAAAAAAAGTTATAATAAACTTTGATTTCATGGCTTTTGGCCATGGAAGAGCTAGCTGCTGATTCACCGAGTTCTGTTTTGACATTATGCTTTTCTATTAATTCTGAAAAATGTTACGACTACCAAAAACCTCTTATTGCGCTTATCGCAAGGCTGTCAGTGATGAGATTAATAAAATAAAATAAAATCATCACCATGATTATCCCCATTTCACAAGTGAGGGAAAAGCAATTTGAAAAAACCGTCTAGTCACACGTGTAGTAGTGTGTGTAGATAGTGGAGTCAGTATTTGAATCCAGAGCTTGTACACACCAAAGTCAACTGAATTGTTTCTTTTATACCTTATGGAGTGTTTAATATACCTTTCACAAAAATCTTCAGTACGTATTTGTTGAACTTAATTAATGCTTTATTTATGTACAAAGATCACTCTCACAACGGAAATGAGGACACTGAAGCTCAAATTGATCAAAGGTATGGACACAACAATAACAACAGATAACACCTCGCAATTAACATGCCACATACTGTTCTAAGTAAACTTTATCTTATTTAATCCTAATACAATCTGAGAGGTAGAGACTATTAAACATCTCCATTTTGTGAATGAGAAACCGAGATAAGAGGTTGAGGAACTGGTCAAAGACAATGCATTTGGTTAAGTGGTGGAATCAGAGATTTGAACTCAGGCAGTTTGGCTCTGATTTTAAAATCACTATGCTATATTACTCTTTATTAGAATTTTAAAGCTGAAAAGGACTTTGTCATTTTATATAGGCAAAAATCTCTCATTCTACAGAAGAGGAACTTGAGATTAAAAAAAAGGGGGGGGGGGAGGAGACATGCCCGAAGGTCAGTCTCATTTATTAGCAGAGCTGACTAGAAACCAACTATGCTGAAGTAAATCAACATATCTGTTCTTTCATCTAACATTGTGTTAGTTCTTATCTAGCATTTAGAAAGGACAACACACAGTGGTTATTGAATAAATAATAAAATGATGGTCACATAATGGCAGAGCAAGAACTAGAAACCATGGCAAAGCCAAAATAGTCTTACTGAATCATGCTGCCCTTTCTCTTTGATACTAAACAAATCCTATAAAATACAAGTTATCCATACCTGAATTTTTCTTGGCCCGTGGATTATATCCATACTTCTGGAAAAGCTCTCTTATTTTTATAATATCCACTGAGGTTTTTTTCATCAGTACTTTTGTTGCCTTTATGAAACCAATGCTTTCTTGACTTTCCAAACTTGCTTTATCAAGAAGAATATTGACATTATCCTTTTAGGAGGAAAGAAAGTACATTATACTTTCTCTAACTTTTCACTAAGTTTATGTATATTTTTAAAATGATAAATATTATAGGAGTAATACCTTTAGAGTCCGAACTTCTGAATTAAGGTCATGTAAAATTCTCACTGCATAACCTTCAAAGTCTTCAATATGAGTATTGAAAAGAAAAAGGAGGGGAAAATAGAAAATATAATTCAGTTTATTTTTAGAATTACAAAATTCTTGTAGGTATTGATTTATAATTTATATCCTGCTAATCACAAAGAAAAGTGTTAGGCCTTTCTTTAAAATTGTTATTAAACTACTAGAGGCCTGGTGCACAAAATTCATGCACACGTAGGGTCCTTAGGCCTAGCCAGCGATCACGGCCAATCTGTGGGGTGACTGGCAGGGCAATCGGGGGGCCCCCCACTGGCACCTGCCTTGGAGGCAACCAGCAGGGCAAATTGGGAGGGTGGTGCCAGCCTGCTCACTGGCCAGCCCCGCCCCCTGATCGCACCACCACCACCAGTCGCCTCCCTCTATGGGGTGACAGGGGACCCCCCCACTAGCACCCACCTTGGCTGACTTAGGGCCTGCGGGCTGGGGGTAGCTCCTACATTGAACATCTGCCCCCTGGTGGTCAGTGCATGTCATAGCGACAGGTCGTTCTGCCGTTAGGTCGATTTGCATATTAGGCTTTTATTATATAGGACTAGAGGCCCAGTGCACAAAATTTGTGCACTCGGGGGGGGGTGCATCCCTCAGCCCGGCCTGCGCCCATTTGCAGTCCAGGACCCCTTGGGGGATGTCCCCCTGTTGACTTAGGCCCACTCCCCGGGGGATCAGGCTTAAGCTTGCAGTCAGACATCCTTCTGGCAGCCAGGGAGCTCTTGGGGGATGTCCGACTAAAGGCTTAGGCCCCCAAGGGAGCTGTGATGAGGAAGCTGGGGTGACAGAGGAGCCACGCTGTCCTTCCCTGCCGCCCTGGGTCAGGTCGCACACGGG